ATATAACAGGCGTGGTATGGTAGATGGTAAAAGTTTAGTTATTTGCTGAAAGAATAAGTAAATTAATCACTTTTCTGAATCTTTCACTTATGGATTATGCCCCCATGTTGTGAGTCACATTGTGCATTATAAAAGCACTGGGCTCTCAGAGTATAAAATGGCATTGGAGAGAGGTGCGTGTATAGACTGTGTCCCTTCATTCATTCCTGCCAGTTAATGCAGTTGTAATTGTAAGGGTCTGAGTCAGAGCTGTCCTTGCCCCCTGATACTGTGGGCTGGATTCAATAGTCTGCCGTCACTGTGTGTAGAAAAACATACCTACATCTGTAAGTGGTCTTTGGTTTATTGTCATTTTAGGCACTTTCAAAATTAAGTCTGTGAAATATTCAAATTTGGGTCTACAAGGAAACTTTTAAGAGGACAAATGAAAACACAGTATTTCCTTTAGATTGTATATTTTGCATCATTTTATTATTTAACAGTTTTATGTGTTTAAGCATTATGACCAATCACACAAATGATCTGTTGAGCTTGATGCGCGAGTGATTTACATGTTAAGTCAATGCAAAGACACGAATAGACATCCTGTGGTACGATATGCGCGAATAGGGCGGTGCAAATGACGCGAGTTGAGAGTATTGCACGATTGACGTGCAAATTGCTCAAGTAGGAAATCATGAGCTTTCTCTTGTAGCGTAGTGATTATGACGTAGCACCTGTTGTTGATGTCCCGGGGGAAAATCTTCCTGCTGACACTGGACAACAGTTCATCAAACTGGGTTTGGCTCAGTCGTAAGCACCACTGAAAGCCCCGTCCATCACATGAATACACGTCTGTTGTGAAGTAAATTTGATTCGCGAATGAAGCAAGTAATGGGTCACAGCTCTACTTACAAATATCACGATTTATCCACGCGCACCGCGTCTGGTGTAGGCATGGGATTTAATAGCCGTTTCAAGGTTTTAATAGCGTTAAAATGTTTAGTGATACCATTCCCAAGGTACATGTAAGTTTTTTATTTATATATATATATATATATATATATATATATATATATATATATATATATATATATTTTTTTTTTTTTTTTTTTTTTTTGAATACACAAAAAGAAATCTGTGTTGAAACTAATGAAGACAGGAGCAAGTCAATGATATATTTTCATTATTTAGCCTAACATACTTACTGTTCCAAAATATTATAAATATTTCTTAAAATAAAATATATTGTGTTTAATGGGGAATAAACTTTTTTTTTTTACTTAGACATTTAAAATAAAACTTATTTTAGAGCAGTGACCACAATACCGTGATATCGTAAAACCAGGTTTTTTTTTATCCAGGGTTATCATACCGTCAGAAACCCATGCCTAGTCTGGTGTGAACACAGCATTATGCATTGTCCATACAGAGGGGCTTAGCTAAGTCACAGCTGAAAATTCAGGAGTTTTTGTCGTTGTGTCTGTTCTCACTCTTCAATTTTGCTAATTAATTTCACCATACTGTACATTGATTTAGTTATTAACAGGAGTTTTGTTAACGTTAATGACTAAAACAACTTGTCTGTGAATCCACTGGCCAGTAGGGCTAAATATCGAATACATTTCTAAAGCTGAAAAGGGTGAGCATCATTGAACACAGTGACACTTTCAGTTTCACACACTTTGCAAAAAGTTAAACGCCAATGATGTTACATGCTGCTGTAAATGTAGGTGCAGGCATCTGTATTATAACACTGCACACTTAATCATATTAGAGATAAATCCAAAAAGGATTGATTTCTGACTTTTGAGAACTGATATTGAGTTGACCATATAGTTTAATAATGATAAAATCGGCTGAAAAACAATGATGGAAACAGGCTGAAAACAACAGAATTGTGGGTTCTGGTACTTCAACTGTTTTCTCTGTAAGCACCTTTTGAAATAACCAATTTAGAGCTTGGTTATGTGGTCAACCTGCTTAGAGGTACTTTTAGCTGTACATTTCCTGAAAAAAAACAGATGCGCTTAAGAACCGCCGAGCTTAAGTCTTGTACAATAAATGCAATTTGTCAATATTAGTACTTGATTAGCGCTGATGTTTTATCCCATTTTTAATGGTTTCATTTTATTCAGTTTGCGGTAATGCAGTTTTTTGGTAAAACCTGATATTATTGTACTGCTATAATGTTTATGGCTGCCCACACAAAATGTTGGGTTGTTTTATAAACACTCAATACATATCAAACAGTCTATAATAGGCATAAGAATCTGACGGTATGATAACTTTGGATAAAATAATCACTGTTTTGCGGTATTGTGGCGACTGTTCTAAGATATATTTTCTTTTAATGTCTGGGTAAAAAAAGAACTTTTTCCCCTTAAACACAATTTATTTTATTTTGACAAACATTTAAAATATTTGGAGCAGTAAACATTGAAATTCACAGAACAGAAAAACAGAAAAACTAAATATAGCAATGTCAGTTTTTTCCAATATCAAGTAGCTATTTTGTGATGTCTGTTTATTGTGAAGTCCAGGTTTGTTATCAAATCTATGGTAAAATGAAGTAAACAAAAGATCCAGTTTAGTGGTCTTAAACTTTATTAAAAACAAGGTTTATATACTCTTTTCTAATTTAGAATCAGAAGGAAGGACTGTTTTTTTTTTTTTTTTTTTTTCCACAACATGGCATGGCGCAGAATTTAATTGCCTTCATCTGTATTCTATAGATTTGTCATTAAATTTGTTATTTTGGCTTTAATATAAGCTTGTTAAACAAAATGAAAAAAGGTTTGAGTTCTGAAGTAGCTCCTATGATCTCTTGTATGCCAAAGGGAGCTTTAATTTCTCAGATCAGGACCTCTTAAGGCTGATTTATACTTCTGCGTCAAGCGCATCCGTATGCTATGTCGCAGCCTATGCGTTGACAAATAGCCCTCGCCATGGCCGTCGGTGTCGCTGATGTGCACCTCTCAAAAAATGTAACTACACGTCGCAACGAAGCATACCACAAGCTCTGTGATTGGTCGGTTTGGAAGCAATGACGAGTGTGGGCGGACAGAGGGCCACGCGTTTCCATTGGAGCGACTGTTTACAAGTTTCAACTGTTTGCAAGGAGCTCTGGATGGAGACTGTTGCTTTGTGTTTACCTTATGTTTAAAGTTGTTGCACGTTCACCGGTTCCTGCCTCATAATGAGCGAGTTTGAACCACTTGTACATAAAGGAAGCATTCAGAAAAACAAAACACCAGCGAAGGAACTCGGCACAGAGGAACATAAACACCTCACTGCCAGCTAGCATTTCAAAAGTGTTATTGCAGAGCAACAGAAACTGCATGCAGAAGTATAAATGCACAGCTACACGTGTTGCATGCGCCATGGGTCATGCCGATCACTTAACGCAGAAGTATGAACAGGTTTTAGGGTGCACTCTCACTATGCTATCCGAACCGTGCTCAGGCGCGTTTCCCGGTTTGTTTAAGAAGTGTGTGTGCTTCGGTTGGAACAGGTGTGCCAAAGCAGGGTTTGGTTGGACTTTTGTGCAGTACGCTTGTTGTGTAAAGCGCGCCTGAGCCCAAAACTGAAGACATGACATCACTTAAAACATGACTGTTTCATATGGATTTAATTATCACTTTTTTAATGAGTGCAAACTCATTCATTCATTTTATTTTCGGCTTAGTCCCTTTATTAATCCAGGGTCGCCACAGCAGAATGAACCGACAACTTATCCAGCACGTTTTGCGCAGTGGATGCCCTTCCAGCTGCAACCTATCTCTGGGAAACCCACCCATATTCACTCATTCACGCTCATTCACTGCGGACAATTCAGCCTACCCAATTCATCTGTACCGCATGCCTTTGGACTATGGGGGAAACCGGAGCACCCGGAGGAAACCCACGCGAACACAGGGAGAACATGCAAACTCCACACGGAAACGCCAACTAACCCAGCCGAAACTCGAACCAGCGACCTTCTTGCTGTGAGGTGACAGCACTAGTAGCTACTGCGCCACCGCATCGCCTGAGTGCAAACTTTTAGTTTAATAAATACCACTCTCTGCACCTTCAGCAAACCTCCTAATACGTACAACATGATGACTTTTATGATAATTTATGATTTTATCAATTGTATTAAAAGTTGTGGATCTGTTCGTCAAAATATTTGACTATGTGTCACTGCATCCCAAACGACTGAAACAATATAACTAAAGCAATCTCCACTGTGCCGAGCGAGAGTGCTTCTCTTCTGGTAAGCTGGACAGTCACATCATCGATGACGTAATCATGCTCAGGTTTAGAAGGCAAAATGCAGAGTGAGTGCAGGTTGTCGAGGGAGAAGGGAGGGAGGACAATCGTGCTTCAGCAACTGTACCTAGTGTGACTATGCCCTTAAATTGAACCCAGCTGTTGGGTTTAAAAAAAAAAATGTTTTTAGAGATTTGTTTCTTGCAGCTGTTTCTCAATATTATGCAATAAATGACTGATTTTATAGTCTAATTATTGAGCATGCATAGTTGGGGAATAAAGCACATGATTTCATTGCTGCTTGATGCGTGCAAACTTCATTATATTCATCATCTGCCATTTTTCTATCCATTTTGTATGTTGTCCCCTGGGAAAACCCGGGCAGGAGTGGGCATGTCATTGGACGAATGCAGGCAGCTGACGGTTTTACAGTGCTGGTGTGATAATGATAGTTGTTTTATTCCATTAAGTGGCTCCGTTATGTAAAGCCCATCTCTTTACTCGCATTTTGTTGGAACTGTGCATTGATTGTATTGTTAAAAGCCAATAAATACTGTGTCGCTCGCTTCCTGTGTACTTTTCATCCGGCCCTCTTCAGGTGCTCTCGGTTCTTGAGCGCAAACAAACAGCAAATTGTCACCCACGCAACATCCCACCGTCCCCACCTCCAGACCTGTCATGCCTTCCTGTTTCACATACCGCCCCTTTTCCCCGGACGTGTCCCGCAGATGTTCAGTAGCCTGGCAACTCCATATCCAGATGGAGAGTGCTTAGATTCCCTTTATCTCTCCATCACTGCTGCATTCATAATCACCACCTTCAACCAAGCTCCACCCACCAACACGAGCTCCAGGTGGAGTTAAAAGCGGGGAAAAAGTGATCTGCTTCCTCTCAGAAGAACAAGAAGTGCTTGTATCAGTGTACCCTGTTGCTGGTGAGTAGCCCGGTCACACCAAGGACAGAGATAAGATTGATTTCAAGACCTGCTTGTTATTACAGTTGCTCAAGATCAAGTGCAGATTACTAAATCAGCAGATGCATTAGTGTCTATTGGTCAGGTCTGGAGGGAATATTTTCAAGGTCTTTAATAGGATGTAAATCGAGATATACATAACCCTAATTTATCCTTGTTTTTTTGTTTGTGGTTTTTATCATGCGTATTTCTAATGAATTGATTTTGCCATGGAAATAGCTGTTTTTGCTGACATGGCAATTAAATAAAAATATATGATACATGCGTGCTGTGAATTGAGATTCAGTGTACATCAAGACATTTTGTGTGCTTCATTTTTTTTTGCCTCCTTCATGTGAAGTGTATTCTGAACATTTTTTTCATGGCATGATGATCTTGTGATCTTAGTTCGTAAATCTCCATGTTGCAGGTGGCTTCTTTCTTCATCTCTGCCATGATGTAAGTTTCCTGTTAGTTGATGTCAATGCAAATGTGCATAAGTTTGGCCCTGCTGTGAGTTTTCCCTCTGTTTAGGTGAGTGTGCAGAGTTTGTGGTGGTATTTCGACTTTTTAATGAGCTCCAGGTGTAAACTGAAATCACATTGTGCCTATGAAGACACGTTCTGTTTTGTTGCGTACTGGCATGGTGTAGTTTGGGATCCCTGCTCGCAATATGGCTTAGTTCTTCTATTGTGGTTGGTTCAGCCAGTTATTTGCCTACGCAGGCACACTTTTCAACAACAGATTCGTGTTAGAGGTGGAGTTGGTGGAAAATTCCAGTAAATTCCATAGCTGACCTGAACGTGTTGAGGTCTGTCTGCTCATCCTGAGGTCATGTTCTCCTCCCTCTGTTGACCTTTGTCTAATAATGTTGTTTGAGGGTTAAAAGCTGTTGTTTGAGCTCTTTGGAAAGATGGACACTTTTTGTGCGTGCACTAAGCAAACAAGCACATGTATGAATGTTAAAAAATTGTTTATTGTAAGACTTTGAGTTTATCGTTTTTGAGTTTATTGAAAGAGTTCAAAAGCGAATGTAAAATGTTAATAAAATAAGGTTCTTTAGAATTTTTTTATACCATCAAATCATTTCAGAAATACTTAGTCTGTATTTTCTTTAGCATGTAGTGCATTAGCTTTGCCTTCAGAAACCAGTATTTTGCCTTTTTTCTCTTATGTGTTTGGAGCAAAAAGGTATTATTGAGGTGATTATGTTTTTATATTATCATTATTTTATTTGTAATACAATCTCTAGTTTCTCACTAGCACATTTGTTGTAATTTCAGCAGGAGTGCAAGAGGAAACTCATAAGCCATAGGGGGTCAGTCCCCAAATATTATTCTTGGTTAATGGAGACCCATTTGAAGTTTTAAACTCTGAGAACCAATGCTTAAGAGGCTGATTATTATTATTATTACTATTTTTATTATTATTATAAATTGCTGTAGTGGTATTAGATTAGATTAGATTCAACTTTAGTGTCATTACACTTGTAGAAGGCAAAGAAATGCAGTTTAGGTCTAAGCAGGAGTGCAATAGCCGCAAGTGCAGGATATTGGTAAAAGTTAAGAGCAATTGTATAAAAACTGATGATATTTACAGATGGATGTACTATGAACATATTCAGGTTGTATTAACTATGATCAGATATTTACAGTAGTTTAATGTATGTACATGTTGCTATTATGATTAGAGATATGCAGATATATATATATATATATATATATATATATATATATATATATATATATATATATATATATATATAAACATATATATATATATATATATAAACATAATTAAAAAAATATATGTACAGAGGTTATGTACAATTCAGGATTAATTAGTGCATGATGGTGCAATAAATGTGCAATTTTAATTGTGCAAATAATAAATAACAATGCAGTATTTATAGGGAGTGAAAGTATAATAAGAGTATTATGGTAAGCAGCAGTATTAATGTACTGGAATATGTACCGTCATGCAATAATTAAATTACATTTAACATATTATTTATATATACACTGAAAAAAAATGATTCAAATATGATTCCTTGGATTTACTCAATTTTTTTATTTAAATGGTTTTAAACAATATAATTGGGCTGAATTTAAAGAAATAAATTAAGCTGAACATTTATACATTTAATTTGTTTGTTTAAATTCAACACATATAAATGGTTTGCAACCATTTTGCAAACAATTTTTTTTTTCAATGTAGTGTACACAGTCTGGGTACCATGGTAAAAGTTAAAAATGTTTCTTTTTCCCACATTTTATCCCATCATTATACTATTTATTGATGTTTAGTATTTCTCCTGTATCTTCAAACTAGCCCCTTTCACACATACAGACCTTTCCGGAAAATTACCGGCAATTTTCCGGAAAGGTTGTATGTGTGAACAGGCCCTTTTTGAAAATACAGGTAAATTCGTTCTGGCTATTTTCCGGAAAGAGAAGTTGTAACATTACCGGTAATTTGCCGGAATGCTGCGCTGTGTGAATGCAGAAGGAAGATTGCCGTAATAAGCGCGTCCACGTCTAGAACGGGCTGACGTGAGACACCTGCTTTAGCCAATCAGAACAGTCAGACGCATTCACGTGCGCGCGGTTTATGAGAATAAAAGCCTTTGAATATTTTTTCCAGACACCTTTAGCTGCTAGATTTTAGTCAGATAATGTTTCTATGTTCCTTCTTAATGCTGTGTAAATAATTATCGATAAAATGTTCATGATAATCCGTTGTTTGTTTACCTTCAAGCTTTGCGTGTGCCCGTGAGCGCCCATAGCGCCAGCACACACGCATATCATGAACATCTCGACATGCGAAAGTGTTTCCCTATGTTTTCATTAGAGTTGTACTCAATACTGATCCATCCGAAGAGTTTGTAATGTAGTCAAATGTTTACAAACACAAGCGCAGCCGTTTAGAGGTCATTTCTGGTTAATGATGTCAGAATTCACCGGCATTTTGCGATGGATGTGTGAATGCTCTTTTCCGGAAAAATTCCGTAACGTCCTCGCCTGTGTGAACAGCGCTTTTTTGAATCTACCGGTAAAGTAGTTCCGGAAATTTTCCGGATATTTACCGGTATCACTGTGTGAAAGGGGCTAATTACTACTATGTCTATGAAAGGTGTCAGTAACATATACACAGAACTGATTCTCCCTGGTTCCGCCAGACTCCCTGGGAAGCACTCTTGCTCTCAAATCTGATATAAAGACAGACGTTCAAGATGATTATTTTTTAGTTTTTGTTTGTTTTTGTTTTTTTTTTTTTTAGCTTGAAAACACTTTAAATGATTATAAAAATGGCCACATGCTCTTCCTTAAATAAAGCCATGCAATATTGCCCTTCTTATGCAACCTCCAAATCAGCCAATGGGCTCTATGCACAGCTTGTTTTTTAGTCACCAATAATCTTCCAGTTAAAGGTTAATGCGATATATTTTTTTTTTTTTTTGCGTACCTTTTTACAGCATTGATAAAATAAAGGGGCTAATATCATAAGTTGGTGTTACCATGTGTGTGCTGTTTTGAAGGAATCATTTGAAAGAATGTTTCAGTGAGTCACTCAAAAAGACAGACTTTCTGCCACCTGGCAGGTTTAGTGTTTATCTATGGTATGTCTAAATCATCCAAGTTACCTGCGCAAAAACTCTCAATGATTTTTAAAATTGTTTAAAAAAATCTCCTAAAGATTGATATTGTCACACCCCTGCGGTAAACTTTTTTAAAAATGTATTTATTTATTTTTTTGCAAGTGATGGGCCTTACTCTGTCTTATTGGGATGCACAGCCTCTCTTCTATTTTGCTGATGTGTTATGCAGACGAATAAGAGCAGAAGTGAATGTTCACCCATGCATCAGTACCTCAGCACACAATCAGCGCTGTATAATTGGCTCTGGCTTTCAAACCCTCTCTGGCCTCATTCTCCTGTTTATGGGCCACGCAAAGCCTGACAGCAGAAAGCTCTAATTGCGGTGATGTAATCCATCTGAAGGTACAAAGAGGCCCATTCTCATCTTGCATCTCTCGCGGGAGCCGTTGATGCCAGTGTTTCCATGGCAGAGCCGTCCGGGAATATCTGGAAAACTGCTCTGCCACTTCTTCAGTGTGATTTTAGCTTTTTTTTTTTCTTAATAATCAACTTATTTCGTCATCTCAAAATCAAAGTACTTTTTTTTTAATGTAGCTGATAGGGTATATGATGATATTTACATACTACTTATACACAGGCATGGGAAGTAACAAAACACAAACAAATCGTTGCTGTACTTAAGTAGATTTTTATAGTATAAGTAAGGCCATGTGCTTACATAGGTGGTATAGGTATACATTTTGATAATGCCTGTCAAAATTAATTTCAAGTTGAAATGTCAAGCGGTGTAACTGGTGACACCATTTTACTCCTATTACTTGTCTTTTCTGTTGGGGGCCAATTTAGTCAAATATCAGTATTTCATGGTGCTGATTAAAATCTAAATTAATTTACTAATTGGAACTATTTTTGTTCATAGTGTTGCATTATTCATTTATTTATTGAGAAAGTGGCGCGTAATCCACAACCTTACTACTAAAGCTGTGTAAACCTATAGGATAAAATCATTTTGCTGCTCAACATGAATTATTTTTTTTTAAATGTTAATCCATGTTTCCATTCACCTAATTTTATGGACACTTTCTTTTTCACACTCGCACTCATCCACTACGGCCAATTTAATTTTTCCAAATCACCTATAAAGCAAGTCTCTGGATTGTCTGAGAAACTGGAGCATAGGAAACCCACGCAAACTCCACACAGGAAGGCCTCTAGTCCATCCAGGACTCGAACCAGCAATCATAGTGCTGTGAGGCAACTGTGCAGCCATTGTGCCACCCTCCTGCAATTCTTTTTTTTTTATTTTATATATATTTCCCAACTGATGTTGAAAGTATATTATTTATTTATTTTTTGGGGAGAGAATAAATAAATATATATATATATATATATATATATATATATATATATATATATATATATATATATATATATATATATATATATATATATATATATATATATAATTATTATTATTTTTTGTAATGCTTAAACAGTTTTAAAAGTCAATATTCTTACCCCTTTAAATATTTTTTGATAATCTACAGAACAAACCACTTTTATACAATAACTTGCCAAATAAATCTTACTTGCCTTGTTAACTAAGTTAAGCCTTTAAATGTCACTTTATACTGAATAATAGTGTCTTGTGAAATAACTTGTGAAATAATATGTACTGTCATCTTGTCAAAGATAAACGTTATTGAATTTTAATTTAGTTATTACAATTTTGTCATTAATACTATTAGGTTTGGAAATAAGTTGAAGCAGTTCTTGGGAAAAACTTTTAAAAGAATTAAAAATTAACATAGGAGAGGTCACAATTTTACAGACAATTTGACAATTTTGTACTATTATTATT